AGTGATATTTCATTGTGTATATATACCACATTTTCTTTATCCATTCATCTGTTGAAGGGCACCTAGATTGGCTCCATAGCTTAGCTTTTGTTAATTGAACTGATATAAACATTAATGAAAATAACATGGTGAATCCCACTAATATATACATCCATAAAAATGAGATCCTAACTAGAATAAGATATATTCCATTCTTGTATAATTATATCAAAATGGATTCTGCTGTCACATATAACTAAAAAGAACCAATATTAAAAAAAAAGAAACTAAATTTAAAAAAAGTATATATAAAAGAATAAAAAAAGAAAAGTAACATTTCTGAGTTTATACAGCTAAAGATGGCATTTTGGTAATATGTATCTCAGTTGTTTAATACAAATCAGTCATATTTCTTACTTGCTTTTTCATTATGTATTAGGCAACAAAAACCATATATTTTAGATTCTAAGCAACCTAGCTGATAGAGAATCCATCATGTGAAACATTGGGTAAAAGGGACAGAGAAAACAAAAGTATTTCATGCCCTCAACGAAATGTTCTACTTGCCACTTTTGACACTTGTCACTTTTACTAAACAAATGTTTTAGTCAGAAGTATTCACATGGCCCCATCCAACCACAAGAGGGCCAAGAAATACAGTGTTACCATGTGATTGGAAGTGGGGAGAATTGGAAATATTTGGCAGTATTTCCACCTAGTATCTGCCATTCCTGAATGAGAGAACTCAAGTACCTTCTTGGTTCAAAAATATAATTAACATACTCTTAGAATTCCTAAGTTGTGAAAGTTCCTAAGATAGATAGCTAGATCTCAATATATATATATATATACACACACACACACACACATATATGCATATGTGTGTGTGTGTATATATATATTAATCAAGTGATATGTATCAAAAGAAAATTATGTCTGTGGTTTAATTTGATTTCTTATTCAGATATCAGCCTGTCTAAAGCAGAAAATTGTGCATCCTATCCATCTGTATGTGTTTAGTCCAACTCTATTTACAGTTGGAGTTAAGATACACACACTTCTTCCAATAAAGTAGTGTCAGACTATAGAAAGGAATGTTTGAGCTTTTGCAAGAAATTTTCTTTAAGGAATTTGTACAAAAAAGAAACTGGACTCTTTCCACATGAAGTTTTTAGTTTTATTTATCCCAACCCAGGTATGATTGTAAACAGGTTCAGGGAGAATAAATTAACTGCTTTGGAATGCTTCTTTTTACAAATGCACATGCCATGCTTCATAAGTGAAGAAGAGTTTTCATGTTGGCAGTGATGCTGGCTCATGCCATTATAAGCCACTGGAAATAGTGCCATTATGATATCAAATCCTATAAGAAGTTCTGGAGGTTTTCAGCTGGGAAATCCCAATCAGATTAGTGACAGTGGATGTGATATAAGCAAAGTTCAAAAAGGGGCTGGTAAAAAGTAAATAGGTATGATAGATAGAAATGGATTAATTGTCAATCATTGACAGCCAATGAATGCAGTCTCTACTTAGAGCAGACTGTTATCTTCTTGAAGAAGCAGCATCTCGGAAGAACGATTGAATTCGGTGGCTGTGTGATCCTGAATGGGTTGATACAATTAATTCATTAACTAATTTCTTCAAAAAGTCATTCATTATGAATATACTGAGTCCCTATTCTATGCAAGTTGTGGTCCTAAATTTTTCTAGGTGTTGTAGAACACTAGGTAAACAAATGAATTTTCTGCTTTGACAGAGCTAAAATTTAGGAGGAGGAAGGAGAAAATAGTTAAGTAGATAAGTAAATAAATCACATAATTTCAGGTATTCAAAACTAAAAAAGATCTGAAAGAAAAGAATCAAGGATGACTTTCAGATTTTGATGCATGTTGGTGCCATTTAATATGGAAACCAAAGGGTTTCATAAAAGCACCCAAATCAAGTGTTTGCTTTTAGAAAAGAAAATTCTTTAGATGCTGACAAGATATTGATGGAAATGTGGATTAGGTAGTTGGACACAGTAGTCTGGAGCTTGATAGATAAGTTGGAGCACAGTAATGAGTCTGCATTATAACAAGCACTGAACTGGGGGTAGGGGTATTGATAGTGGAATAAAAATAAAAGCAGGCAGCCAGTGATTGCCTGAGTTGATTTTCAGTACATATATCCCATCTCTTAGATATTACGGCTGATGTTTAAGGGCAGGCTGCTCCGAAAGAAACTAGAACTGTTGAAAAAGAATGGGAGAACTTGAACCTAGCAAGAATTGAATACTAATGTTGATGTGATTTCATTGATACTACCTATGAATTAGTAAAGTCTGAGATGTTTGGATAACAGATGCACAAGCAAAATGCTGTAAGATTGCTTAACAGTGTCCCAATGTGATTATTTATAATTTTCAATTTGTAATTTCACCATTAAAACTTGTTGAGTTCTAAGGATTTGTGGATACAGTAAGGTATAATGGAGAGTACTGGATTTAGAACTAAAGGGTGGTGATCCTACTTCAATGAAGATCTTATTGCTTCAAGGGCTAGAAATCCTGTTGACCGACAACCTTCAGCTGTCAGCACCCCCAGGATTGACTTAATTGTAGAGATTCATCTTTCCAAGGTCACATCCTTTCTGGAGGGGCCCCACATCCAATGATGGATCTATGTGGAAATGCAAATGCTGGGGCAGGCAGGTCTAATCTGAGATCACTCTGCAGGGTTGATTGTCATTAGGCCTGGATCAAAGCTCAGCTTGTCCTTCTGCTCAGGCCTGCTGCCATGCTCACCTTCACAGGTGTTGATGCCAAGGGCAGTCCTTAATAAACATCCTGCACTCTGAGTTCTGTCTCGGTACCTGCTGTCAGGGAGCACAACTCACAATATGAAAACCAGAATTCTCAGTTTCATTATTGATTGCTTGTAAACAGGTGAGCAAACTTTTTGACACTTCTTCTATCAAAAGGTAGAGTCTCCATCCCCACCTGTAAAATTAGTGAGGCTTTATAATGACTCAATGAACAAAGAAATGTGGCAGAAAAGGATTCTGTGTCGTATTCGACCTTTGAGGCTAGGGAATAAAGGGCATGTGACTTCTGCTGGTCCCTTTTGGAAACTCACTCTGGAAGACTTTTGCTACCATGTAAGAAACCCAGCTGCCATGTAGCCTGAAGCTTTCACATAGACCTTGTTGTGAGACCATAAAGAGGGCTGTGCCTGAGGAGCTCCAGCTGTTCTAGCTCCCAGATGTTTGCATTATTCTGGGCCACGCACCAAATATGTGAATGGAGCCTTTGAGGAACCCTCAGCATTAGCCAGCACTTGCTTTCAACTACATAAGAGACCCTAAGCAAGAATTGACTAACCAGACCAGGCAATCCTCAGGTGAGTAAAATAAATAAGTTATTTTTTAAAGCCCTTATTTTAGGGTGATTTGTTCATGGCTGTAAATAACTGCAGCAATGATTAAATTAGTTTACTTCTTTCTGTCTCAATTTCTCTATAATATGGAAATATTTTACCAAAACCTCCTGAACTCCTCTTACTAGCATATTATGGAAATAACATTAATAGTATATGTAAACTTGCTTTATAAGCTGCAAGAGGCATTAGAGGTGCAATTTATTATAATTACTGCCATAAATCCTCATTAGCTTGAACAGATTGTATAGAATACCAAAAAGCACGGTTGCTAATCTCAAGGAATAATGATATTATCTCTCAGTTTATAATAATTTATCCTAACCACAAAATGTAAATAGAAGGGTCTAGAACGGGAATGGGAAAATGGAAAACAAGTGGATTTAAAAGCAATAATGTAATATTTATCTTTCTTGATCTATCTTTTCTGTACAGCTCATATCAGGTGGATATGAGTATATTTGTAGAAGTATATTTGTAGAAGGCATAACTTGGTCCTTTCTCACTTCAAACATAGAAACTTGGTTCTCAACAATGCTCTCTTTTACACGCATTAAACATTGTCCCTACCCTCTCTTCTTTTTGTTCTCTGCTTTATATATTTTGAGTATCTGTATCTCCAACTAGTATAAATGTCATTAAACAAACAGTTCAGGAATTCTTCATAGTCATGCCTTGAGAGTAACCATTACAATACTTTGTAAATAGAAGATAATCAACACATGTTTATAAAATAAACTCCAAAGAGAGCAAATAAGTCTTGAAAGATACCAGAGGACCAATGATTATATATTATTAAGCTATTTTTTAATTTAATTGAATATTGAAAACTTCACTACCAATTTAACCTGATTTTTCTCTTCATTTTTTTTCCCTAAGTTCCAAGATTTTCCCTTGGTCTTTATTAGTGCAATCTGTCACATATTCCAGTTCCCTCTATCCCTGCCCTTGTAGACACATATTGGGATTAAACTTTCTGAACCCCTTGTGATGAACAGTTGTGGTAAATTATAAGTTTAAGTGACATGTGTCACTTTGGGTGGAGTATTAAAATTACAGTTTTAAGCCCTCCCAAAATTCTTGTTCCTTACGGAAGAGATTTGCAAGATTCTAAGTAGTAGTGGTTCCTTAGTCTGGCTTCCTTCATGACTATAAGCAAAATTACCTTCTCCCTCTTCTGACCTGAAACAGACATTTGGCATCAATAAGAAAAATAAACTATGATTACTTTTACAACCTTCAGATATGTTCATGCCCCCTAAAGCATAACTTTCTGAAATAGCCTTACTGATAAGGCTATTTAGTGGCCAGAACTGATAGAGAAGTTTGACAAGCTTGAGAACAGAAGAATCATAGCTCAGGTACAATTTCTCTCCTTTCCAGCCCTTTCTCAGTAGAATCTAAATTGCTTTAGTAATTCAGCACTTAAGTTGAAATACCAAATTGTTACCATAGAAACCACAAGCCAGCACTTCTAATGACTGAATCATATGCACTCTTTAAGCTCTTCAAATTCCACAGTAAGTTCTGTTAAAATTGTGTCTCAAGTTACATTCTAGAGTTGTCATAGGTAAGTTCCTCAGAGAAAAGATTTTGAGGCAGACATTAGTATGTACAAAGTTTAATTGGAGTACCATCCAGAATACTTGTGATCTAGTTCAGAAAACATAATTTGTCTGAGGGGAAAGCTGAAGCATGATGCAGTCAGAACAAAGGCCTCAGTTGATGGTGTAGGGAGCTGTTAGGAGAACCTTGTATAGCTGTTCTTGTTAAAAGGTAAAGGCTTAGGCTTTTGTGTCTCTGCTTTAACCAGTTATTGGATATGGGTTACCATAGGAGAGCCATGAAACTCATATAGGCAGCCTTCTTCAGTGGAGGGCAATGCCTGGGAAGGGAGTCATTGGTGGGTGACATCAGCAGCCAACACACCTGCTGCCTAGAAGACACTTATTTCTGTGCTGAGGATGATTCTACATAAGGGAACACGGCATCTATTATATAAGTAATATACATTTCCAAATAAAATTATGGTTAACTTTCGGTTGAAACCATTATTTCAGTTTTTGTTTGCCATGATCTGTCCACTTGAACTGCTGTTTCTGTTTCCAACTATTAAAAGCGTATTTCACCTTAAGGATTCAGCTCAAACATCATCTAAGAAAATCCTCCCAGGGTGTTTCTTCTGTGGACATTCTTGGCACTATACACTGATTCTGTTTTATAGGCTGCTTTCTGTGAGGACAAGACCCTCTAAGTGGATGGCTGTGGGGTTGCTCCTCAAATCTGAGGCACAGAGAAGCTAAGATGGAAGATGGTAGGGTCAGAGAAAGGGTAACCCGAAGGATGAAGATAGGGACACTGTAGGTCTCTTTTGTTTTTCTGGAGTCCCACATGGATAACACTAGGATTCTGAGTCCTAGAGTATTTTATAGTCCCATTAATGTCTTCTAAGCCAGATTCTTCCTCTTTTCACAAAACTTTATAGATTATTTCTCCACTATTATTCTTGAAGCTTTAGTAGTTTTTAAGAATCCTCTTCTTGTCATGACATTGCTTCAGAACTTTATCAGGTCATTTCAGTTTCTTCTCAGAGCTTTTGTCTCCTGCCCTTGACTCTATCCCCATTCATGGCTGAAGTCTGCATGTTAGTCATAGTATTAGTTTTTGAGGAACCTTACTAGGAGAGAAGGCAATATTAGGCAGTCAGAGTCTGGGTTGTCAAGTCTTACTGTTATTTTCCTACAGAGTTAACCTGGACTGTTTCACTTTCCATTTTTCAGGGAAGCAATTTCTTTATTCATTCCATTAAAATTATTTGTACACAAATTATATTTCTCATTAGATCTTTAGTTACTAGAGATATAACGTAAATTTAGGAAAATCACAAGAAACCTTAATTTGCCCACTTGCAAATTGAGTGGCCATTAATTCTGCCAGGGCCCCTTCATCTGCAGAACTTGATAATTTTATGGGATGTCTCAATTTTGTAAAGGTTGAGAATACCTTATCTCTGGTTTCCATATTAGTTTGCTGACAGACATGCTAAAATACCTTTTTTGCTACCATCAAGTAAAATTATTACTCTGACAGACCAGAATAACTCAAGGTAAAACAAAGAGAAATTTCACAAAGGCAATCATAAGGAACTCAGGGGCAATTTGACTTAAAGCAGCTTGAAATTTTAAGAGGAAAAAAAAATGTACTCTGTCTTCTCATTTGCTTCCTGTTTCCTCTTTAAGCACGTATACTCTATCTCCCCAAAGATTTCCCTCTAAACAGAAAAACACATTACACAGCTTGACCTGTAATTTAAATCCCAATTAAGCTTCCAGTTAGGATATGTCTTCATCATAAATCTGTTATGAGTCCCCTAGTGTTTTGCTAAATTCCCTTATCCTCTTAAACAGCATGATCCCAGTTTTCGTTTCCCTACACATAAATGCTGAATTATAGCTTATTTATTAGTTTCATGAATAAGACTAATTTGATCGCCATTTGCAGAGAAATTCTCACCAGGTTATTATACTCCTAGATCCCATTAACAAACCAAAAATATACAAAATAAAAATTACCTCAAATTAGTCTTCCAAGTAGCATTGTTGGCAACAGTTCTTTGTATAAAAAAAAAAAAGATGCCACTAAACAGAACTACAAGAGTGCATTATAGTTATACATAATATTGGGGTTCATTTTGACATAATTATATATGACTGACATATAATTTGCTATACTTTAGTCCCCAATACTTCCTCTTTCCCTCCTCTCATACCTCCCTATGTTCTTCCTCAACTCTACTGATCTTCTATTTATTTATAGTTCTTTTTAAATTTGTGCTTTACAGATATACTTAAAGGTGAACTTCATTATGATGCACGCACTCTTTCTGTTCCCCCTGCTCAGCACTGCAACTTATGCTTAATCCAATCTGTTTAATTATAATAAATATTTGCAAATCTGCCTTTTTTCCTATTTACTCCTAATGGACATTGATTTTTCACTAAGCATTCACTCCTTATGAGTAGTACTTATAGAGGTTCAAATTTCATGTTTTTGCCTGAAACCTGAGTACCTACTATAAATCCAAACTTGACTGAGAATACCTAAACATCTGTGAAATGGGTCAGCTGGGGTTTCAATGACTTAAGGGCTTCAGGAATCACATGAGAAGGACAGTTACTTCAGGCATCAAGACTGATAGCTACTCCTATACAATTATTGTATAGCAATTAAGGAAGTGATACCTGAATTCTAGTTTTTTCAACTTGAAACTAAAGTTGCTCCTATATCATATCAGAAGCTTGTTTGTACTTTATAGTCCAACAACAAAACAAACAACAACAACAACAACAACAACAAAACATGAAACACAAACAAATGAAAAAACATGACCTGAGAAAAATTACATGGTGCTGAGAACCCTCTGAAGCATAGACCTGAAGATGTATTTCATGGTACATTCTTCAGCCTTATGAATTTCACAGTAGTGATGGTATTAGATACAAACATTATTTTTCTTCAAATTGACTTCTATTATCATGTATAACTAAAAATCATTAATAAAAATATTTTTCTGGCAGTTGTTTTTAGAGTCTTTAATGTTAGACTAATGAGAAATGATCACTCCCATCAATTTACTGAACCTGAAAATATTGATTATTTCTGGAATATACTGTGCATCCTAGCGTTCAGCATTTTTAAGTCTTTTTTTTTCCATTTCTATACTGTTTTTTTTCCTTCAACTTAATGAGAAAGTAGCAAATGAACCCACTGAGCTTATTCATATTCAAATAATATTTATTGTCTGCTATGTGAGGCACTGAGGTGTATCACAAAGATATGTCACAATAGGAATATAGGTCAGAAAAATATGGATAAAGAGTTAAAGAATTACAGAAGAGACTATAATTTTTCCAGAATGTGTCAGACTTTGGAATTAAAATAGAAATAGAAATACACATGGGCGATGTGGAAGAATGGATGAACATTTCAAAGTGCAGAATGTGCAAAGGCAGAGATAAATGTTTCAGGTATAACAAAGTTAAGTTACACCTTAGGAGGTTAAGATGGTAAAGTTAAGACGACTTCTGTGCATCTCTTGGACAAAATTTTGCTAATTCTTGCTTCATTAAATGTTATTTTCCATCCCATTTTCTGGGCAATCTAGGCTAGATTGCCTTTCACTTTTCTCTTTCTCTGGTTATTGTCTTCATATATGTCTTTTACATTCTACTCTAAACTGCTTGGAGACAGGTTCAAATAGTATTTCTCTATTTGTCTTTGTGTTAAGAGTGAAGCATTTATTTATCTGGTAAAAGCTGGATTAGATGAAAAAAGTAATCAATTAGAGGAGGATCAGACATACATACATGTTTTTGAAATAAAAAATAATTAGGAAACACTATGACAGTGTGGACAACGACAAGAGAATAACACTTGAATGAGGAGCTAATAATCATTCCCATAAAAGAAAAGAATAAGACAAAGCAAAAGAGAGAGAAAATGGATAACTTTGGCTATAAGCCAAGGATAGCTGGAAAAACTGAAAGAATAAATACTATATACATAATAATATAAAGATGTTTCATGAATAGTGTACAAAAATATTTTAAGAGCTGGTACTAGACTTCTTTAGAGAAGTAATTACTGGTTTTTAGAAAAAGCTACTTTGAATATAGAATGTGAGAAGTTTAAGCAAGAATCAGCAGGAACAAAACAAAGATCATTGATACTCTATGAAAAAAATGAGAAGATCTCCTCTAATGTGGTTGATTCGACCTCCCTTTATAAACTCAGAAATGCTGGAATAAATGTAACTATAGTTATATAAACTATAAACCTAAACTACTAAAAAAAACAATAAAAAGGGAATTGTCAGTGACAGAAGAAAATTTAAAAATTGGAGTAGAAAACAGAAATTGACACTATGGTGGCTTTCTAAAGCATTTCTCACTATGTTATGAGCCTCAGGAGCTACCAGGTGAGTACTGACATTTTTATTGTTGCTGTTGTTTTGGTGTTGAGGATTGAACCCAGAGCTTCTTGCTTTTACAGCTCAAGTACACTCTCAACAGTTAGTAGCTAGGCTTTATGTTCAAACACAAGTCCTTGAGCATTGATGAGGCAGAGGAATTGCAACCAGGCCCTAAAGAAGTGTCAGCTACTGATATTATAGATATGCTACCTATTTAGCCGAGATAAAAGGCAAAGGACTTTGTTACTTCAGATAGGGAGAATATCCTATAAAATGTACCTGTGAGAATACAAAACTTCAAAACTCTTGCAACTCATCTCAATTTATAACATCTGCATAATTCAGAAATCCTGAGCTGAGAACTTATAATTTAAAAATGCTTCAGGATCTTTAAGAGCCAAAGAACCTTGGCAGAAATAAATGTACAATTTCTCAAAAGGGATTCTTTCACAGCTCAAGGCATAAGAGATTTCCATAAACAAAACAACCCCACTGAAGATCATCACATGAAGAAATAAATCACTATGAAAAAGATTCAGAAAATGTTGTAAAAGGGAGATTTAGGAATTCAAAAGCCAGGAATAACAGAACCATCTGAAAAAGAAGACTAAGTATTTAAACCTGGTTAGAGAGGCAAAATAGGCAGCTTCACAAAGAGCAGAACACATAGTTTTATTGAAAATAGTATTGTCATTGAAATTAAAATGCATGGTTCTAATCAGATTCCATGTGTTAGCAGATATAATCTCCTCCTTTCCTATTCCTTATTTTAAATTATGCTTCATTGTGTTTCTTTAAGTTTGTCAGGTTATTTTTGAAGAACCAAAGGTCAGACAACATGGTAGTAGAAATGAAATACTCAAAATGTGCTAATCATTTCACTTTAAAAATATAAACTTTCTATCATTTAGCAATTCATCCCCTTGAATTTAAATATTCTCTCCACAAATGCAGCAACCTTTCCTTTTTCTGCAAGTCCTTTCATTTTTTTTTTTTCTGTGTTAAGTTTCAGGGGGAGAGGATTGACTCCTGACCATATAAGAGCTACTTCAGCACTCTAAAATTATAAAAACGTATTCAGGGAAGAAGGGAATCCCTCCTAATGCCCTGGAGTAGAAGACCAAATTTTTCTCTGAGGTCCTGATTTATAGCTTTATCCAAGTCCTTGTTATTGCTGCTCACTCCCACATAACAACTAAGGCTCCACTAGCTGCCCAGATTTCTTGACAGTTTAACTACTGCCTGCCAGTGTTGAGGCTTTCAAAACTTTTTATCCATGATAATGAAACAAGAACTGCATCTATTTTACAGTCTGTTTCTACCCTCACTCCAGCAGGTAGCACTGGCTTTGTGTCTTTGTGTTCTTTACTTCTCTGTAGATATCTGAGGATCCAGTCATAAGTCAGCTATTAGTGATTTCCTCAAGTACCTCTGTACCATATTTAGCAGAAATTCCTTAGCATATCTAGCATGTACTATATATAAAATAGATATCTCTCTATTTTAAGCAATTTTAATAGTTTTGATGGGAGCATTTAGATGTGTGCATTCTTAAAATACACAAAAGTCCTTATCCAGCAAAAGTGCATTTCAGTATAAATCTTCATCCATTAGACTTAAGGAGATCAGTTACTATTAATCTATCTAAATAGTTGTAAAGGCTAATAATGTTTGTCTTGATTTATATTTTTATCCCAAAGGATAGTTTATTTCACAATATTAAAATCTACATTAGGATATGCTAGTAGGTTTAAATTCTGTATTCAGAAAAGTAATGAAAATGTAGAGAGCTGAAAGTAGATGTATAAGATTTAATAGAGCCAATATAAGTGAATAGGTGTGGAGATGCAAGAATCAGGGAGGACAAAGTGTATTAAATTGATATTAGGCCACTATCCATCGTTGACATTCTAGCACAAGTGGGTAGTACATCAAATTACATAAACGAGTTTTCTTTTTATTTTTTTTTGTAGTTGTTGGTGCATAAAATGCCTTTGTTTTATTTGTTTATTTTTATATGGTGCTAGGGATGGAATCCAGCGCCTCACACATTGGTAGGCATGTGCTCTGCCACGGAGGCCCCAGTTCCATAAGTTCTTTTTTAAACAAAACAAAACATAAAAGTCTTATTTTACTTCTTTAAACTGAAAAACAATTTCAAAACATAGGCTCGTTTTGGGTAGTTTGAAATTGGTTGAGATTATTGCAAATCTATTTCAGGACTGAGAAGGCAATTTAATTCATGTTCTAAAATACATGGTCTAAATAAATGTGTTATCCCTCCCCCCACAAGTCCATATATTGAAATTCTGACTTCCAAAATAACAGTGGAAAGTGTACCAGTAAAAAAGACTGGAAAGCATTCCTCACCACACACTGACTATAAGCTCCTAGTTCTTGACTTCCCAAACTTCCAGAACTGTGGGGAAATCAATTTCTGTTGTTCATAAAGTAGCTAATTTTGTTATACCAGCTCAAAAGAACTAAGGCACTCAAAATAGTATGTTGGCCATTTTTCTGTACCTTGCCTTGAATAGCACCATAACCATTTTTAATCTAAGCCCTTTCTAATTCGTTAGCGTCAAAGTGCTCAAGTGAGTACAGCTGAAAACCATGCTTTTTGTTTTTAGTAAAGAACAGTATACACTTGTAACAGTATCATTTACCAGTAGTACTGGATTCTGTAAATATTTAAGAACACTTGCTCTGCAGCTAGACTGCCTGGGAACAAATCCATTTCTCGGTTAACAGTTGACTAACCATTCTGCGACTGTTTACACATCTGCAAAATGAGAATAATGTCAAGCTGGCATCTTGGTGCAGGCCTCTAATCCCAGCCATCGCGTCAGGTGCAGCAGGAGGATCACATGTTTCAGGCCAGCCGCAACAATTGAGACCCTCAGCATCTTAGCGAAATACTGTCGAAATGCGCCCTGGTGATCAATTAAAAACAGTTTCAGGAATTGCATAGAGTCGCTAATTCGTGTTTTTAAAAGCGGAGGATCACAGCCTGACACACTGAACTCAGTAAGCGCCAGCTGTACTGAAGGACCTCCAATAAAACTTCCTGTAATGCTAGGCCTTCCATTGCTTAAGAGTTTTTCAGGGTAAGGAGTTCAACAGTAGGCCTAGCACCTACTACCGCCTCATACAATTTTTCCGGGCTCAGATCGAGTCCGTGAGCACTGGATTCCCCAGGAGACATGGAAACTTCAGGTGAAAAGGCTCGCCATTCAGAAGTCAACCAGAGGCCCGAAAAGATCAGCGCCTCCGTGGCCCAACAAAGTACAGCTTCCATCTTCCCAGAAGCTGAGCAATCGGAGGAGAAACTAAGGCTTGTAACATAGAATGACAGCAGACGATTCACTCCCCTGCGCCGCAGCTCTCAGACTTAAGCACTACAGAATCCCGCTAAACTCCGCTCGCAGAAGGCGGAGTCTGCAGGAGGCAACTTTGGGGCGGAAGGGGCCTGAGGCGGGGCGGGGCGGGAGAAGCATGAGGCCCCCAGGCAGAGGCTTGGGGCTGCCCAGAGTGCGCCGGACGCCGGTGTGAGTATACACCTCCTTGTCCTGTAATTCCTGGGCTCAACGACTTTGACGCGCCATAAATTCCACTGTCTAGATTCTCTTTCCTATCGCCCTGTCACTTTGATCATTCGAGTGGAGGAAAAAGGTGAAACTCCAAATTCAGGCAGATCCTAGCCGCCAGCAGAGGAAATAAACCGCAGAGATGGGGTCCTTTGCTCGCGCCGAAATTCAAAGGCTTAAATAGTTCCGGCGCGGGTGCTGTAAAAGGCTTTGGGATAGTACCGGCTATGGTAGAGTTTGCCTCATAGCATCCAAAGCCTGGTGCGGTTATCCCCTTTCTCCGTCTTCGTGACCCGAGGGAGTTTTGGTGGCGCCCCAAGCACAGGCGGCCTGAGGCAGTGCCGAGGTAGGTGCGTATGCACGGCCGGTTGGGCCCGGCCTGGTATCCTGGGGGAGATGGAGCAGGAGGAGGGCGAGTGGCCAGAAGGGACCACAGCGATAATTAGGGGTAAAGACTGCTTCCTATCTAGGCTTGGAATGGGACTAGGAGGTGCAGAAAAAAGCTGTCGGGAGGAGAGGAAACAATCTGAGTAAAAGCAAGAAGCTAGAAGATGCGAGATTTATCTGCCCTGTTAAAGTAAATACTTGTTGATTTTCCCGACCCTCAGAGTCAGACACTATTCGGATATGCAGTGATGGACTTAGGCGAACATGCTCCAGAACCATGAATTGTGATTAGTTGGGTAAACAAATGCTGTTTTAAGTGTTAACTGTAAGTGCTATGAAGGAAAAAGAAAGCCTAAACAGGATGGGTAGAGGTGCTCTTTTACATAGGAAGGACTCCACCCAGCAAGGTAATATTTGTGCATGATGGCAATAAAGGGCAGAGTGAACCATGCCACCATCAGAGAAGTATGTTGTGGTTAAAGAGAATGGGATGTGAAGGATGTGAATCAGTAGTCCTTGTTAGAATATGATGAAAGTGGAAGGCAAGCTGTAAAAGTAAGTACTAGTGGTCATTAACAGCTTAAATGGTTTAATATCCAAGTAGAGACTAACTATCTTTTAAAGTAGGAGAATGATACCTTTATCAGATAGGGTGGTTTGACAGCTGTTTTATTTCTGTTACCCTGTCATACCTGTTTTATTTTCTCTCACACATTATAATTCTAGGTTTGCGGTTCACTTAAGTGGTGTTATTTCTATTTTGTACAGATCTGGTTTTGTTTGTTTGATGCATCACAGAGGTTTACTGGCTCAAGACGGTATTGAAAATGCATATTAAATCAATCATTCTCGAGGGATTTAAATCCTATGCTCAGAGGACTGAAGTTAATGGTTTTGACCCCCTCTTCAATGCTATCACTGGTTTAAATGGTAGTGGTAAGTCCAACATATTGGACTCCATCTGCTTTTTGCTGGGAATCTCCAACCTGTCTCAGGTAAAGTGCAAACTTTCTGATTTATGTGAATTTAAGTTTGGCAAGGGAATCCTCACGCAAATTTGGAGATTCTTGCCAATGTTTTCTTCATTTGCGTTGTTTTACTTAATGTGAATTATATCATATATTAGTTAAGCCCATTCAGGAAAGCATTATTACTCTGTTGGAAGAGAAAATGGAAACTCAGGCGTTGCTTAATGTGTTTGGTAGTAATACCCAAACTCAGGCATTTTGACTTTAAGGCAGTATCACTCCAAAATCTCTGTTTGTCCCCTCTAGTGTTATAATGCCTTTTAAGGACATACTAATGGATTGAATGACAAGTGAAATTCATAGGCACTGTCTTCCCTTCAATCTTGCAAGTTAACTTTTGTTAAGAATGAATTAGAAAGTTCAAAGAGTTCAATCAGGAAAGGCACTCATTGAGTTGTTGCCCATTGTCCTTCCTTTCCTTGCCGGTGTATGCTACTGCCTATCCTTATTCGTGCGTGGGTTTTCCAACTGTAGGGAACCCATTTTTAGTGCTGCTTTATAATATAGGGATTTGTAGTTGATACACTTTTTTTCTTTTGTTACAGGTTCGGGCTTCTAATTTACAAGATTTAGTTTACAAAAATGGGCAGGCTGGAATTACCAAAGCCTCAGTGTCGATCACCTTTGATAATTCTGACAAAAAACAAAGTCCTTTAGGATTTGAAGTTCATGATGAAATCACAGTAACAAGACAGGTGAGTGATTATTAAATATTTGGATACCGTAAGAACTCTGGTGGTCTGATCCATTACTTGTCAATATAACTGCAAAAAGTGCTGGAGACAAGCCAGGTGCAGAAATGCATGCTTGTAATACCAGTGTCTTGGGAGGCTAAGGCAAGAGGATCACAAGTTCAAGACCAGCCTCAGCAACTTAGTGAGGCCCTAAGCAGCTTACCAAGACCCTGTCTCAAAGTAAAAAAAGGGTTGAGGATGTGGTTTAGAGGTAAAATGCCCCTGGGTACAATCCCCATACTAGAGAAAGTGTTGGAAACAAGGTTTATGAACAAAACTGATGCATTGATACTGAATCAAGTCCTTAAGAGTAGTTTCCTTATAAGGTCATGTACTGCATAACCTCAAGTCAGTCAGTGATGAACTGCATATGTGATGGTGGTTCCATAAGATTATATCACCTAATGATGATGTAGCTGACTTAGTTTAGTACACTCTGAAGTTTGCACAGTGATAAAATTGTCTAATGATGCATTTCTCAGGAAGTATCCCCAGTCATGTGATTCTTAATGGTATTAATTTTTTTTTTTTTAAAAAGAGAGTGAGAGAGGAGAGAGAGAGAGAGAGAATTTTTTTTTAATATTTATTTTTTAGTTCTCGGCGGACACAACATCTTTGTTGGTAAGTGGTGCTGAGGATCGAACCCGGGCCGCACGCATGCAAGGCGAGCGCGCTACCGCTTGAGCCACATCCCCAGCCCTGGTATTAAAATTTTGATCATGCAAGTTCCACCATTAAGTAAGAGGATTGAAAGAGATCTGGAAAGTCTTTCATCCATTATAAGAATTTAACCATATCTGAATTGTAAACCATACTTCAATCCTTTCTGGCTATATACTTAAATACTCCAAAAACCTGATCTTGCTATCTTCTAAAATAACCCATTGGACCAGTATTGTTAAAAAAAAGTTATTTAAAAATCTGATGGAAATGTGAAACTGTCTTATAGTTGTGTACTTTAATCTTGGTGCTTAAAAACAAAAGTTTTGTTTTTTAAAATTCCATTAATTCACACTTATTCTCTATCTTAGAACTATGTCACTGGTAGATACTCTCCTCTATTTTGATAAATGCCTATGATTAAAAAAAATTGACTACATTGGGACAGAATCTTACTTTGTTATTGGGCATTCATCAAATAATATCTCTTTTGGAATTGTTCTTAAATTTAATACTAATCTACCTAATTTTAACTGTCCTCATTCAGATGTCTTTACCAAAATTTACCTAAAGTCCTTGCCAAATTACTTAGGAGCAAGCATACTCAGTTTGTTGTTCAGATATATTAATATATGTACTATCAATCTAACAATCCTGTCAGGAAAGACATTTATTTAATATTTATTAACATTTATTCACTATTTATTAATTTCTTGATGTGTACTGAATGTTCTTGAATACATTGGAGTATACATACAGAAAGAAATATGAGATAAAGATCTTGAATAAAGGCCTCAGTATCTAGGGGGTGAAACAATCATATCCAACATAACAATTTAAATGCTATGGTAAAGTATGAACAAGCCAGTTTCTGGCATGCCTTGTTCTTAATGAAGCCATGTTGAAGCTCCATGGCTGTCTTTAAGTGGCCAAAATACATGTCTTAATTCCTTTTAAAATTTTGTCAGAAAATGATGCCAAACCACTTGTATAGCTTTTAAAAGTATTTGACTTCTTTTCCCTTTGAAAAGTAGAGGAAGAGGAGTTCACCTTTGAGTGTGGAACAGAAGGAAGACCAGGAAAAGAAAGCATGTTTTATACTTTCATGGAAGCACAAAGGTAGAAGTGATCTTAGAGACAGTTCAATGCAGGGGAGGTTAAGAGAATTGTGCATGATTACATAGGTAGTTAGCAAAATTCCCCGAATTAGAATCTAGTTGTTCTGAATATAGTTAGTAATTGTTTTGACCATGACACACTTTTCAACCATTTACTTGGGATTGATTTTGTTTATTGTTAATTGGATAGAACAAATAAATGTAAGGTAATATTTGTAATTTATCATTTTAGAAGAAGTTGGGTATATACATTTATGTTTTTAAAAATGCTTCGTTTTTAGGTGGTTATTGGTGGCAGAAATAAATATTTAATCAATGGAGTGAATGCAAACAACACCAGAGTACAGGATCTCTTCTGTTCTGTTGGTTTGAATGTTAATAACCCTCACTTTCTCATCATGCAGGTATTTTGTTTGTGGTCCTTATGTCTTTCGTAATGGTTTTACTATTTTTAACTATTGCAACAGATGTGCCTTTCTTTTTTTATTTGTGTTTATTGTTTTTATTTCCATTTTTAGAATTGTTATTTACTGTGTTTGGGCACCTTTTAAGAAATGCAGTTAGTTAATTGTTAGTGATGTTTTCTACCATACTATGGACATTTGAATTTTAAAGAATGTCTAGAAATTATTTTTCTTGACTTATTTTATTACTCTAAGGACAATAGCTCTAACCGTAGAAATGCTATCATTGTGTATTTTTAAGTTATTAGGTTAAAGCATCTTAAAATTTATGGTATAAAAATCTGAATAATTTTTCTGTTTAGAAACTCATGTAAATGAAAAATAAGGCTGATACTATCTTGCACTTAACGTTTCACTTGAAATCTAACTGTCTTTTGAGAGCGTCCTAGCAAGGTCACTGGCAGGACCCTAATGGAACCATGTGTTTGTCCATTTTATGTTGCTATACCAATACTATAGACTGGATAATTTACAAACAATATAAA